TCGAAATACGGCCTCACACTTGTAGACCCCCACGTCACCAGCTGAAAAGTTTGGGATGTGCAGGGACGAATGACCACTGGAAGTCTTTCGAAGAGACTTGTCATCATTGCAGGTGTTTTCACTTTGACCATTATCGCTAATGGAGATCTTACAGGTTTTGTTTTTTACTTGTATGTTCCAGATAACATACATCGTCTCACTCCAAGTCTTATCACTGCAATTAAGGTTCCCATCAGTCCCAAGATTGAAAGCTGCCTTTCTGTTGACTAAGAAAAATAAAGCAGTTGAATTTAGTTTTTCAGACTATAGAATTGCCAACATAGAATGAGACAAAATATGGTGCATATCTGATGTGAGAAAAAAGGCCAATGCAAAAAGCAGAAATCTAACTTTTTATAAAACGCACAAGGTCATTGACTCTAAGTGCAAATAAGTATGACAAATAACGTAAATGTGTATTTGTAATATGTGTTTTTCACAAAGACAATTAGATTCCACACATAAAATCTTAGGCAAAAGTAAGGGGAAGACAACAAAACACGTGAAAATGAATTTACCCTGAAACGTTTTAGGCGCAGAAGTTGTGTTGACTTTACCAGAGGAGTTTTCATTAGTTCCTGAAGGAAGTGGAGGTTAATGCAAGGAAAATGTTAGTCCAACAAGGGGATTTTTCTATTACTGAGTAAGAGTTGATGCATTCCAAAGTGTTGAATCAGTAGAACAACTCTCCATAACAGTTCGACATATATAAATAAAGGCCAACAAAGCCATTAGAATCTTATCTGATGAAAGAAAAAATTTAAAGCAAGAACAGAAATTAAGATTTAAAGTCATTTTTCTATTCACATTCTGCTTGTGTCTTGGAAATACAATGTGATAAATAAGAATATTTAAAAAACAGCATTAAAAAAACATCGAGCAGTTTAATTCATTTCAACTAAAGGGAGTGTTTCAAGATTAATTAAGAAAGAAAAGTGCATTTAGAAGAGGATCACATTAATTTGACCTCCACTGGATAAAAAAAAGTGTGAAGATGTCATTTTTAGTTTCAGAGAATTTTTCATCAGTTCCTGAGAGCAACAGAGGTTAATATAAAAATAAATAGTAATAATAAAGTCAGTAAATTTTTTAATTTACTAAGAGGTAAATACATTACAAAGCATTAAATCAGCAGAGCATCAATCAGTGTGGCAGATATGAGGAAGTTAATGTCTTGTTAGTGAAATATGGTATTAAAAGACCATACAAATATCTGATTGTCAGTGGGACATTTACATATGAAGAAAAATATTTTATGTGATCAAAATCCAGTAGGAAAAAAAGCAAATTTGTCAAGAAACTGAGGCATGATGACAGCAAGAAGCCAAGTATGGATCGGCTCGTTGCTACTCTACATTAAGAGGTTAGATTTGACTACCACTGTGATAAATTCTAATCTTAAAGCAGATCTTGAAAGCTTCAAGTTCAATGAGCTTAAAAACAAAGCAGCACGTTTGATGCGGAAATAAAATCTCACAGGAAAACACAAGTAATGAAGTTAAATGTTTGTGTGGAATTTTCTGTGTATCTTTTGACAGATAACAAAACAAATGGCTACACTGCACTCATGTTAGATAACTGGACAGACTGTAAATAATGACAAAAATCCAGATTTACAGTCTACATTTGTCATATTTAGAAATATGATATCACCCCATGCTCTGGTAACATCTGATGCTGTGAAAAGATTGAAAAAAAACACGTCTGGTTATGGATTGAAAACAAAGCAAATTAAAGTTAAATGCATTTCTTTTTCCAACCTGAATCCAGGCCCCATGCTTGAGACAGGAAGAGGAGTAAGATGTTAGTCCACATGTCTTGCATCTGCAGCTGTGTTCGGGCTGCTCTGTAAACTTATTTCAGCAATACCACACAGTGAACGCAAAAGGTATGGGTTGGCATTTCCTGGGTCATATTGTCATTCACCCTGCTCACAGCGTGTGATTCAGTTTGATTTCTCCATACGCTGGGCTTGAGTTGGAGTTGTCCTTCACCCAATCCTAACATTCCATAAATCGTAAAAATGTATTTTAATAAAGAAATTCAATCTACATGTGACTCAAATTTCCCGTCCCCATTGATCATTCACTCTAAACCGCTTCCTGCCATAGCGTCAAACTTTTTCTCCCACACAGGGTGACGCGTGAAGAATCAAGCAATCAGCTTCCTGTCTGTGGAGTCACATTGAATAATATGCTCTCTGAAGTCAAAATGATTCCCTCGAATGTTTTAACTAAAGTGTTACAGGGGTAGAAAGCCCAAGGTTTTTAGCAATTCATTTTTTTACAATTCATGTGAATGAATAGTGTTCGATAGCCTTACTGCATTGCAAACATGCAAAGTTCAAATGGCTTCAGAAATTATTTTCAGCTCTAATCTGCGTTACTTAGGATCTGTAAGAAACAATAGAACAAAAACGTCACGCCAAAACATAACTCATCATAACTCTTCTAACTTAAAAACCCTGACCTGTATGTGTTACCTTTCACAAATCCTGCAAAGCTTCTTAGACAAGAATAAAAAAAAAGGGATGAAACTATTATGAGTAACTACTATCTAGTAATAAAGTGTCACCAGAAAAAGCTGGCTATAGTTTTGTTTTTAGGATCTATTATTAGATGGTGCTAATTTTTAAGGAAGGAAGCAGACGTTCAGTTGAATCTAAAAATGTCCAAAAGGAGGAAGTAGGTCTTTCACAGTACTGCAAAATTGTGCAGCAATGTTGGAGAGGGGACTGTGGAATGAAGCGATGATGCAGCGCATTGTGTGCATCCAAAAATATCAACATATGGGTTTTATACTCTTTTTTTTATTTGGCACACACACCCCCACAGTGACAACTGGCATTTTAATCACACACACACACACACACACACACATATACACATTTATACTCTTTATACGTATATTCTAGACCAGAGATTAACCAAATCTCCAGAAAGAAAGTCAGACAACTAATTAAAGAATTCTTAAAGGTAAGAAAAACTTGAAATAGGCCATTATTGAGGCCTGGAAATGTAATAAGGATAAATCTATTAATTGTATTTAATTTATGCATTCTTTGATGACTAAAATGTTCCTGTTCATTTTTTTTTTAAGCCACAGTTTGCTGTGACCGCTCCGGATGCGGCGTCTCATGTGACGTAAGGACGTTCGACGCAACTTCCTCCTTCCTCCTCATTTTTCCGGAAGACCTGCGTGTCGTTTCCATGGTTACAGTGGCAGAGTTTTGGACGCTTTCGCTGTTCGCACTCGCGCTAGACGTTGAGAAAAGGGGAGAAATAAACTTTTTGGGGGCAACACAAATAAAAATGTGCGCTTCAGTCACTCGGACAGTCACTAAAAAAGCTGACGCTTATAAACTCGTGAAGCGGGAGCGGGTTTATGACCACTTATATGGTGAGTATGTGTCTGAACAACTAAATCATAACAACTACCGTTTAGGCTTTAGAAAAGGCTCTTTAACATTTGTAATTGCTTAACTTTTCACTACAGATCCCGTTTACACTGTGTCATCTGAAGTGGACCATACAAAGGCCAATCATAGAGCCTATGCGTCAAAGGATCGAGTTGTGAGTTGTGTCCCTGTTTGTCCTGCAGAAATGTTGTGATCAGGTAATTGTGAGCCATATGTATATATAAAAGCAGATCAGCTCTAATAGTGTGTCTTTTTGCCTATCTAAGAGGAGAGTGCCCGAGTTTGCGTCTATGTTCAGTGACAACCCAAGCTATACAGTTAAACTGGACCCAGCAGAGCCAGTGCCAGCCTTTAATGATTATCACTGGACAGGACATGCCGAACAGCACAAAGAGGCCTTACAACAGCTTGCTGGGTAAGAGCAAATTACAAAAGAAAATTAGAGGTCCTTTTTACATAATGCATGAGCGGTGATTGATGTTTTTCTGCCTGACAGGATTATTCCAAACGCCCAGAAAAGGAAGCAGTGCCATGTAACAGGGGGTGATTACTGGAAATACTTGAAACGGTTCGATGGGCCAGCCTTACAGCTTGATGGCATTGTTTTTTCATTTCTCCCGCAAACAAAGATAGCTGCCTCACTAACTTTGTTAATCTGGAAATGCATCTGTTGCCTCTGACAATGGTGTCCAATGTTTTTTTCCCATAGCCCCCTGATTCCATTTGCTCAGCAGTTTCCCTCAGACGTGATTTTTGCCTTTCTAAGGTAAGTTCTTCTAGTTACTTAGAATATTTGCAACCGAGTTTCCTTTTTTATGTTTATGGTTTTTGACCCTTTGTTTTTGTAGAGAAGATGTTGGAGCCACAGATGGAAAAGATGCTCAGCAACAACCCGCCCAGTGCTCTGTGGGGGTCCAGACAGACTACAGGGAAAGCGAAACCCAGACAGACCCATACAGCCCTGAGTATGTGATACAACCCAGAACGACTCCTTCAGAGCTTCTACAGCTGGCAGCTTTGACTTGGGGTACAGGATAAATCGACTAAATGTTTACGAGCCATAAACAAATACCTATCTTGCTAAAACTGTAAAATCTTTGTCTTGGCAATTAGAAACGTCAAGATTTTCAGATGTCTTACTGGGCCCTTTTCCTGATGCCGATCCTCAGGTCATGGCTTGCCAGCCGGCTTGGCTGAGGTGGAAATGATAGAGCGTGCACGTGCGAAGCGGGCGTGGGAGGCCACTCTCCCTCCGCTGGACGACCTGAGCCAGATTGACAAGAGAAGACGTATGATGGAGGAGATGGAGGCCAAGGAGTGGGCTTTCAGGGATGGAGAGATCCAAAAGTGAGCAGTCTTTTTTTATCTTTCAGTGGACAAACACAAAAAAGCCACCAAGGTCTGAACACAACTTATTGTTGATTTTAGCTTATTTTCTCTTTCCCTGCTGAGGAGGAAGTTGGTGTTATAAGTTGGTGGTATAGTGGTTAGCATAGCTGCCCTCCAAGCAGTTGACCTGGGTTCGATTCCTGGCAGCTCCTCTCTACTCTGTAAGCGGCTTTGGATAAAAGGCGTCTGCCAAATCCATCCATCCATTATCAATACCGCTTATTCCCTGATGGGGTCGCGGGGGGAACTGGAGCCTATCCCAGTGGTCAATGGGCGAGAGGCAGGGTACACCCTGGACAGTCCGCCAATCCATCGCAGGGGCGTCTGCCAAATGCATAAACATAAAACCTAAATAAGGAAGTAATCCAGCAGACAATGACTCTTTGTTGTTATTTAAGCAGATATTATCAAATAGGATTGCTTCATGGTGACATGGTGTCATGATGACGATAACAAGTGAGAAGCTGCCAAAATAAATCATGACTTGTAACAATGGTAAACATGCCAGTGTGACGATTATTAAATTATGTGCACTCATCAGAGCCATGCAGCTATTGTTGGATACATGATCAAATTTCTCTGTCTGTTGTTTGACTCCTTCATGTTATACTTACTGTTTTGTTTTGTTTTTCGGGTTTTTTTTACGTGGTGACCAGGCTGCAGGAGGCTCGTCTGGCTGTGTTGACAGACCTGCTGATTCAGAGAGAAGAGGCCCAGAAAAACGCCACGTTCGAAAGACTGAATGAGATTTATTCCAAGAACAATAAGGACAAGGAAACCAAGCTACGCAAAATCAACAATGACTACTTCAGGGGTAAGACTATGCTGACTGGCTGGTTAATCTGGGCTGTTTTCAACCCTTGATCATTCATCTTTAACTTCTCATTTCTCTCACAGCGCTGAGAAAGCTGGAAGCCAAGAGGAATTGTGTGGAGGGGAAGCGGCCTAACATTGGCATCCATTCTCAGAGATATAGTCCTCCGGCTCACATGGGCTCCATTACCAACAGCACCACCCATGAGTGGGAAAGTCACTACTTAGGCACTTATGAAGGTGAACAAACACTTCACAACAAGTAAAAGCCAAATTGTCTCTATTGGACTACTTCATTGTACAGGTAACTTTTCATTAACCACAGGCTTGCTGGAATTAGAAGCACGACTCAATACGTCAGTCCCCAAGCCACAGACGAAGGAATCAAAACCTAAAGTCAGGAAGTATAGGAACAAGTCTCTTGCCTGCAGGGCTGTGGAACTGCTGGAGGAGTACAAGGTCAAGCGGAAACTCTGGCTAACAGGCATATCACTTTTGATTTAAATGCACAGTTTTCATTAACCACGGTTCAACAGGCCCAGAAGGAGGAGATGAACAAGCCTAAAACAAAAGAGGTCTCGCGTTTTCTTATCAGAAATGAGAAGCCTGAGCCTCTCCCTGTCACTCCAAGAGTAGAAAAACCACCAGAGGTCCGCTCATTTCTCTAACATTAAATCTAATCCTACAGGTGTTTTAGACAGTATATGTTAACCGATATTCTGTACATGTTCATTTTAGGGGGATGAGGAGACAGAGCTTGCAGTAATCAACTTGCAGAAACTCCTCAGAGGAAGGAGTACTCAATATCAAGTCTGTATCAGTGGTTTTGGTGTCAAACAAGTTATCTTTGTTAAGATCAGTGCTGAAATGACTTCTGCACTGTTTAACTGTTTATTCGCTTCTGCCTGCCCTGCAGATGTTTAAGGGCAAAGAGAACCAGCCCGAGCTCATCCAAGAGTTAAGGACCATCTACGCCCTCCAGAGCAAGGAGCAGGAACAACAGCGAGCTGAAAAAGGCGCCATAATCGCCCTGAAGAAACAGAGAGACCATCAAAGGCACCAGGTCAGACGCACACATGCACGCCCACAGGAAGAATTTCCACAGATCCTCATGGACTCTCTTCCTGCCTCATCTAGGATGCTCAAAAGGACGCGTTCTACGCCGCCTTCGAGGGCGCCGAACTGGAGCAGATTTTCGACACCCTGTCCAAGGAGCTCATCCATCTCCAGGAGGAGCGCAGGATTCATGCTTTTGCGCTGCTGGCTGAGAGGGACCGGCGGCGTCGGGAGGCGGAGGAGAGTGGGAGAAGACAGGAGGAGGAGCGGAGACGCAGAGACGAGGACGAGATCTTCAGACAAGTCTGTTCATCTTTCTGTTACACGCGGTTGTTTTTTCACATTTCGATGCAGTGATGTTGTGTGTGCTTGATTTGTTTCGACGCGGCGTCACAGGTGGTACAGGTGCACCAGGACAGCGTGGACATGTATCTAGAGGACGTCATCTTGGAGACTTTGGAGCAGGCAGCTGATCAGCAAGCCCGGGAGGAGATCCACAGGAAGGCAAAGGAGATCAATGATATTGTTTATGCGGTACAGGAAAGGTAACCGACAATTTTGCATCATATCTCTGGAAGTTTTCATTGACAAACCTCAACGCAAATGTGACAATCACAGAATTTGTGTGTGTGTGTTTGTGTGTGTGTGTGTGTGATTGCAGCCGAGACACCCTTCAGTCGGAGGAGATAGTGTCAGAGCTGGTGTACAGCTTCCTTATCCCAGAGGTCGAGAAAATCAATGTCAGGCAAACAGGTGTGTGTTCACACCTTTGAAAACGATAAAAGAACAGCAGTAAGACTAATAAAAAAAAAACATGAGATGATCGCCTCTCATTTTTCTGACCAGTGCACCGGAAGCAGCATCGACACCTGCTGGCGGCTCAGAGCATCATTCAGGGCACTGCGGCGCCCACCGGGAGCCGCTCCTCTGGAGCCCCGCAGCCAACGTGTCCCGGCGTGATAGCCTCCAGCCAAATCCTGGAGGAGCTGACCGGCCAAGTGGAGCAAAGGAAGCAAGCAGAGCATCAGCAACCTAACACTGAATGAAAGAAAATGGGGCGCAGATGGATGTTTACAGCATTCCAATAAAACCTGTGATTCCAGCCTAGTTTGGTGGCGACTTTGACTGGAAGCTGAGTTACCTCTGCCTAAAACATGTTATTTTTAAGCTTTAAGTGATTTTAAAATTCTCCCAGTGAGTTTCTATAACGCTGTTTTTGATGGTGTTTGGAGGATGTAGATAGGGATGCTAAAATACAAGCCAAAACTTGATTATGTAAACATGCCCAGATTCAATTAAAAGCACAAAAAACTGCACTCTTCAAAAACAAAAATTAAGCCAAGATTTAAACGTTAGTAAGAACCTTACGACCTTACTTTGTGGCAGGGCTGCCGAAAAACTGCTGTTTCAGGCATGGTCACAAAAAGAACAAAAACAAAGCAAAACCAACATGCAATGGAATTTTGGGGTATGGCCTCCAGCTTGAGAGGAGTTCTGAAACAAAGCTTCGGCCACTAGAGAGCAGCACGAATTCAAACCAAAAAACTCCAAAAAGACGCCGTTTCATGAGTCCAAACGACGCATTTTTCCTTTTCCAGCGGACTGCCGGGAACACATGAGCAGGACATTGTGACATATAGCCTCCACACAATCCCTCTGAGGTCAGTCTCGGTACCAGGGTAACCAGGTCTGTGATTGTGGGGGCGGGGCTCTGCAGGTTACCATCAGGACCTGCTGTCACCGCCCGCCTGCCAGTCACACCGGCCCGCCGCTGCCCCGCGCCAAACGGCTACCGAGAACCGTAAAAGACACCCCGTCCGGTCAGCCCCAGTGTGTGTGTGGGGGGGGGGGGGGGACAGCTGGAAGCAGCCCACAGCTGGCCGGACCTCCGCAGAGCCCAGGTGAGCGGCTTCATTACGGCTGAACAGGTGAGACGTGTTTTGTTCAGTTTATGCCACTTTGAGGTTTCCACGCGTTCAGTTTTCTTTGTTGCAAACTATTATATTTAGCAGAGAGACAACAAGAATCCGAGTGGAAACGCTTCCACACTACAGTTTAAGTCGGTGTGTGTCAGTAAAGGCAGCTGTGGGCTGGGTTGGAATAAACCCAGGCGAGTGTCAGTGGAGTATATAGGGTTTCACTATGAACACTTTTTCTCAACGCTGATAATAGATGTGTATGTATATATTCATATCTCTTATTTCAAGTTTCATGGTGAAACCTCTTAAGGTGAGAACAAGCGGTAAAATCTCGGTTGGAATTCCTGCTATGTGGGCTATTCTATTGCCAGATTTTATCCCGAAGTCGGTTCCCTGCTCTGTGAACGTTTCACCTCAGTGTGGAAATGAGTGTAAAGGGTGTTTGACGGACTTAAACGCCTCACGTGGAGCCATTGTTCGCCTGTGTGCCTTCATGTGATGATAGAGAAGAACATAATCAGACGGGCTTCCCAAAGTGCTCAGATATTACACACCTGTGCACAGACCTGCAGATAAAGTCTGCTGTAAATTAAATAATACACTATAGGAATAAAAAAAGCTATACGTTTTAACTACTATCCTGGATAACTGCCACAAAGAGAGAAAAACATGTATGTAAGAACATGCCTTATAACTGAAAGAAAAACAACTTTGTTTTCTTTTTATTTTCAACATCTCATCTCATATGTTGCTACATTGTCCCTCATTTAAAAAAAATATAGAAGAAGCAGGATGGCTGCTGGCATGGAAGCTGTTTCTGAGGTTACCACTGTGCAAAATGAAGACGATGAAGAGGAAGGACCAAAAGAGTGTGGTGTGTGTGGTGACATGGCCAAGGGTTACCACTTCAATGCTCTGACATGCGAAGGCTGCAAAGGCTTCTTCAGGTGGGGTCTCTCTCCCACTGTCTCTCTCTTCATGTCATGTCTGTGTGTGTGCTTCATGATTACAGTAACTACAGTACACAATGAGCACCCTGGTGATAGGTCCAGGTCCTACAGCTTCTTTTTTTTATAAAGATATTACCAGAAAAAAGAGTGAAATCATGTACATCACGTTATTTAAACTTAAAATGCACCTTTTCATTCTAAAAACTCACGTAAAGTGCGGTTTAGGAGTATTTTTCACTCGACAACAGGAAAACAAAGCTGACAACGTGCAAAGCTCGGAAACTAAACATTTGCAAATAAGAAATCCAATTAAGAGTTTCATTCAAAAGCTGCGTATTCTTCTCAATTGCTCAAGACTCAATTGCTAATATTTCAGTTTATTTCATAGAATAATTTTCTTCTTTTGTGGTGTCACTCAGACTATCTGAGCTGCCATGGAAACTCAGACATTCATAAAAGTCTCCTACGTGGACTCTGCACTGTGGCTTCATTTAACCCTGAACAAGACTCCACTCTCACTTTAGCTATTACCGACCACACGGGGGGCGAAAGACACAGATATTTGCTCTGAAACATAAAAGTAGGCCAGAAATTCCGTATTTTGTTTCAAGATGTTAGCCCTTTGGGAAAAAACTATGGAAATCAGTGAATATGACTCTTTTTAAACTCACGATAAACAGCACGTGCTTGTATCAGCAAGACCTTCCGTACTCTGGAGATTGTACATTAACCGTTTGCTTTTAACACCGTTTTTTATGTTTATTCCGTTGACACAGAATTTACACTCCTATTGATATGAAATCAGTTTTGAATCACGTTTAAAAAGTGTTGCAGACATTTTTAAAAATCTTACTTTGCCTCTGTCCAATAAAACTAAATGTAAAGAAATGTACAAACTAAAATGGAGGGAAAAGCTTTAAAAAAATACTTGAATAAATGGAAAGATTTTCAGGCTTTCTTTGTAATGGTAACACTCAGGGGTTATTGCAAACTCTATGAATGTTTAAATTTGGAGCTGAGCGTCTTTTTACTTGGAACTACTTAGAGCGTATCATAAATATACTCTGGAAACTAATAAGTATGAGAGGCTACTCGGAGGGTTGACAATGGGTCCTGCTAATGATTTTTTTATCGCAGAAGTCATGCAGCCACTTTATTAGTAATAATCAGTGACATGATCAAATGGGAAAGTTTAGTCTACTCACATTCATTAATTACCTTTTCAGGATCAGATTAGGAATCAAATTCATATATACATTAATCATTTTTAGCCTCAGTGGCCACAATCATAACTTACTTAATGTTTATTTTGGTAGGAACTTTCCACTTGATTGTGATTAAGTAGTGCATGGAGGCAAGTCTGTGAGATTAGAAGTTATAGAGTAAAACTCCATTTACTATGCGAGGACGTCAAATCATTTAAGCCAGATTGATATATTTTTTAATATGTGATTTTTTCTTAATCAAAAGCATTAATTCCACATTTTACTTGAAAATTTCGAAGAAAAAAAGTGCAAGTCAAAAATAGTTTTTGGTCTTTTTTCTCTTGTTGGATGAATAATTTTGTCAGGGTTACTTAAGTGGAACACAATGTCATTTTTTTGTCTTTTGCCATCTTTATTTTGAGCCTGACATTTTAACTTTAGATTGATGTTTCTAAGCTGTTACTAAGCTGGATTTCTAAATCGCTTCAGACGTGCCACAAAGACGTCCCCGCAGCTCCACTGTCCCTTCCAGAACAATTGCATCATAACCAAAAGCAACAGGCGATCATGTCAAGCCTGCCGCTTCCGGAAATGTCAGGCCATTGGCATGCGCGGAGAGAGTAAGTCAAAGCCTCCATATCACTGTTTCCACTTTAACAGTCGTGTCATTGTCCAGTAGCCTGCATTTGATCAACTGTCAACCACAAAAAAAAGCCATTCAGAAACGTCCATTTTTCCTAACTAAATAACCATCTTTTTTCTCTGTAGTGGTCATGTCTGAGAAACAGGTACTGGAGAGGAGGATCCGTATCAAGGAGAAAAAGTTACATAACGCCTCAGCGCAGCTTTCACTCCAACAGGACCAAGTGGTCCAGAAGCTGCTCTGCAGCCACCGCAGCACGTTTGACTCGGCGTTTTCACGCTTCACGGGCTTCAGGGTCAGTGAGCGTCCCCCGTACGTCATCATCATCTTCCTCACGCTCATCTGACAGAGTTTGTTTTTTTGTTGTTTTTTTTCACAGCCGATGGACAGGGACGTGCAGTCAGAGCACGGCCAGTCTCACCCGCTGGCCAAATGCCCCACGAAGACCTGCTCTACCGCGGAGAAACCCTCTGCTGACCTCCCATCATCATCATCATCGTCATCATCGTCACACGCCTGCTCCCTCTCCCCCGCCTCCTCCTCCTCCTCCTCCACCTCCCCCAGTCTCTCGGACTCCTCGGAGATACGCGTGGACTACGAAGCGGACGGCAGCAGCCGGGTTTACACAGCCCTCCCGCATATGGCTGACCTCACCACGTACATGATTCAGGACATCATCCGTTTTTCCAAAAGTCTTCAAGACTTCCGGTAAAGCGGTTCACGCTCAGATGCGTCTCGGGCCAGCACGGTTTTTTGTGTGTGTGTGTTTTTTTTGTCTGTAATTTGGTGTCTTGCAGCTCTCTCAGCATGGAGGACCAGATATCTCTGCTGAAGGGCGCCACGTTTGAAATCATGCTGATCCGCTTCAACATGGTGTTTAACCTGACAACCAGCAAGTGGGAATGCGGCCATTATAAATACTGCATACACGACGCGATGCGAGGTGAGAGGTGTGAACGCGAGCTGACGCAGTACTTTTGAAGTGAGGGGAAGATTTTGACATCCCCAGCAGGTCTGCGCTGTGGCCGGCCCGCCAGTGCACCGTGCCTCGCTCTCTGCAGTCCTACGGGACTTGTTTTTCTCTCTTTACAGTTGTGTGTTGCAACACCTGAAAGCGAGAACAGTCACAAGAATGTAGTCAGACCGGTACGGTCCCCTCAAGGATCATACAGGCCTGAGTTCACAGTCACTGTGCTTCTTACTCTGCTTCCGAGCACAATCTGGCAGTTAAGACAACTTTTCTTAGAGGTTCTCTCAGCCATTTTTTCTTAAATTTAGAACATGGGGACAGGGAAAAGGGTAAATGAAAATGCACTCCCTTGAAGTCTTGTTTTTTTCCAATTCGATACACCTTAGATGAGGTAGAAACACTTGCTAAGACTAGTGAAAATACAGGGGAGGGATTGGCCAGCTGATGCTTGTTTGCGCTGGCAAACACCTCCCTCTGATTGGCCGCCATCTTTCTAAATTTGATGTAATATCCAAAATGAATAAATTATTCTTCAAAGGGAGCTTTCTCATGGTAGAAATAACTATTACTCATCCTGTAGTGTTGCCCCATCGTCTGGCAGCACTATGCAGCCTGATCTTTGGAAAAGTTTGAATCACGTTTCTCTTTCGCTGCATTTCCAAAAATTTCCTCAGATGTGCTTGGATTATGAATGGAGGCTCAGCTAAAGTGTTCAAATGCTGTTTCTCTGCAGGTGGGAGCATGTTAAGTTGTACAGAGGATCGAAAAAGCCCCAGGTCACAGGGATTTAGAGCAGTTTGAAACGCTTCAGGAATTCAGATTAGAAGAAAAAGACTTACATAATGTAACATTCTGGTAAAACCAAACCGTAAGAACAACCGGCTGCATGGCGGCGTGTGCTGGGGACAACTGTCACATCAGGATTCTTTTAGTGAATCGCACCTGCATGTTTACACACTATGGGTCTAATAATAAGGTCTTTGTGAAGGAGACTTCTTAAAGAAGGCCTTAGGCTGGGGCAGGGTCAGAACACCTTAATCTGTGCAAAAGAAAACTGGCATGAAATTATCAGGTATTTGTGAAGGGGCAAGACAGAAATTATTAGAAATGGACAAAGTAGATAACATTTCAAAGACTCTTATTTTCTTTACATGAGCTCTTTTTTTTCACCAGACATCTATATATATCAGTTCTTATATCGCAATATTGTTTCAGTTTGAAATAGAAATGTAGTTTGCTTTTTTTTAAGCTGGAAGATGTTGGTTTAATGACCCAGTTCCCGTTTTTGTGTCACTGTCCTGCTCACCGGTGTTCTCCAGCGGGTTTCCAGCCTGTCCTACTGGAGTACATCTTCAAATTTCACCACACACTGCGCAAGCTGGACCTGCAGGAGGAGGAGTATGCGCTCATACAGGCCATTTCCCTGTTTTCCCCAGGTCAACTCAGTTCACACTCATCAGTCATTAATGAACCCTGTTAATATTTCAACCCTACAAACTGCATGGATGTGTGGCCAGCAGAGCGCGGGGCAGCGTTCTCTGACCCGTCCTGACGTGAGCGTGTGACTCTGTTTGATCCCACAGATCGCCCCGGAGTGCAGCAACACGCCGTGATCGAACAGGTCCACGAAAGCTTGGCGCTGACGCTAAAAGCCCTGATTGACTGCAAGAGAACAGGCCCAAAAAAACAGTGAGTCGAGGGGTCACGCAGTCCATAGAGTTTTGAGACGGTTCAATCATTCACCCGCCTTTGTCTCCTGTCGTTGCAGCCTGCTGTACCCCAAAGTGATAGGCTGCTTCACGGAGATGAGAACAATAAACGAGGAGTACAGCAAACAGATTCTGCAGATCCAGGACATCCAGCCGGACACAATCTCCCCCCTCATAATGGAAGTGGTCAGCACAAACACCTATTCTGACTCTAATGCCGGCAAACACAGTACAAAGATCCCTGAAGATCCCTGCTCTTAGTCTTTATCTGAGGGAACCTGATCTGAATGTACCAATTAGTTTTCAGGAAGATGTTCAGTTGTTGTTGGAGAATGTTTTTTGAAGTGGCTTTCTAAACCACAACTGAGAAATCCAGCAGCATTAAGCTTTTCGGTGACTGGTCGCACCACTGATGAGTTGTTGTTGACATGTGTCTTTGTTTACAGGAAGAATGTAATGTCAGCTTTGACGTTTACTTGAAAATGTTTTGCATCCACAATTGTGAGACTGAAGTATTAAAAAAAAAGATAAGAAAAAACAGAAAAAAACAACAGGAAGCCTAATCGTCGTATCAAGCTTTGCTTTATACATTTGTTACCTCAGGTTGTGATATTTTTTTGTGTTTGTTTTCATACCATAATGAACAAAAATTGTGTACTTAATGTTAATTAAAGTGAACAAAGGTGCTCTTTGGATTCCAGCGCATGATGCTGCTTCTCAGTAAGACGAACACTGCCACACTGTGGTCACACTTAAACAGAGGACAAACTGTTGCCTCTACAATATTGGGCCATCCTCGACACACTAAAATGGTTCTGATAATTAGTCGCAGATAAAAACGTACAAAGGCATGGCCTGAAAAAAAAAAGGATTAGCTGATTTAACGGCCGCTTTTTTAGAGAAACAAACTATATCCTAATTTTTGCCCCATGTAGTTAAGCTTTGGATGACTAAGCCCCATTTTTTAAAATTAAAATAGGCAAGACACCACATGTCAATAAGTGGAATGTGTTAAGGTGAGTTATACTTCTTTGTTGTAATGGCTTCTCACAAAGCTTTGACTACTGATTAGATATAGAATTGGATTAAACGTATTGTGAATCTTAATTTACTGCAAGAAACCCTTTACTGCTGATTAAGCAACAATAGAAAAGGAAATAAAATTCATTCATCGGATTCTGGAAGGATGAGTAAGCATTTGGGCACTTTAAGGAGTGAATGCACAGCAGGACGGAAAAGAATATATCACAGATATAGGCCAAAACAATCCCCTCACCAACGTAAGCGGGTTTTTTGTATGTCAGGTCAATAAACTTTTAGGTTACAAGGTGCAGTTATAAAATAAATTAATAAACTAACCACAGGGAAAACACACAGGCCCAAGGCTATTTTCTTCGTCTTTGCTTTTAATGAAATCACATTGGGTAAGCACCACTTTCTTTCAGAGATTAAGTCTTCAAAACAAGACTAAATGATAGGAAAGGGCACCTTTCATTTAGATGAAGGTCCAAAGGGGGAGGAATCTGACCTGAGCAGAAGTTGGTGACATCCAACAATGGCTCACAGAGCTGGTGTAGAAAAATCCTCATGTGAGCCTCCAACAGCATAAACCATGAGCGGCCCCTTCACCATTCTCATCTACCTGAAACCATTTTTTTTTTACTCGTTTGTTATTGGCTTAAATAAAAAAGTTTTAAAAACTGTGACAATAAAAAAGACGACAAAGACAAGTTTATTGATCATTTCCAGGCTATCCTACTCTTTATTTAATGCAAATTACAGTACCAGGGAACTATTCCTCGGAGCACGCAGAGGGAATATTTACAGAGGCGCACATTTAGCATACCTTCACAGAACAAAAGAAACAAAAAGAACAAAAATAAAACAAATGAAACAAAAAACTTCAGTCACAAACAGAGGCATTCAAGTAGTAGTACTGTTATACAGGATGTTTTTTGTAGTATTTTCTTAAAACGTTTCTTTTCTAGAACCCGAATTGAACCCAGTTAACATGTTCTACTAGTATATATGCTAGTATGCTATGAGATACTAGTATCTATACTTTGTTTTCTCCTTTTTTTTGGTGACCATTCTGGTGTTTTCATTGAACTGGGGGGTTGAGGGGTAGGGTGAAGTGGTCAAACCTTCAGGTGGAGGGTAGCAACACGTTCATGAATGCAAAATTACAGCAAGCAGGAGGCAGGAAAAGGCTACATGACTCGACCCCTTAGGTGCTACTGAATTCACCCCCCCATCCCGAACAGGGAGCCTGGGTGGAGAAACAAGTAAGAGGACAGGAGAAACGACTAAATATCCAGGCGGAGAGGAGAAGGAGAGTTATTGCCTCTGAGGATGGCTCATCGTGACTACATCATAGTTTGGCTTTGGTAACAGAACCAACACTGCAAGTGATACAGAAACTCTACTGTATTGTTTATATACAGTACACGAGGCCTTTCTTCTTTTTTTTTTTAGTTTTTCTTTTTTTTTTTACTGGCTGCTGCCACCCACCCAACTTCATACCCCGGAGTCCGTGCAGGACTGTGGCATACATGCGTCCCCCCAGAGAAAGCATCTCACAAAATAAACACCGGTCTAGTGAGTCTTCAGTTAAGGAAAAAAATATCCTTACGATTAACAATGTCTGTATGTTCAATGAACTATGCAATGAGAGGGGGTGGGGATAATGAGGATTTGTGTTTGTGTGTGTGTGTGTGTGTGTGTGTGTAGCAGGACATTCAACAGCACCAAAGGGAGAGTCACAATATGGGGGCGGGAGGATGGCGGGGGCAGGAGCCGGGTGAGGGCGGAGACAGAGTGAAGGTGTATGAAAGCAAAGGCACTCCAAACTATAGTTACACTATACATGACTAGTTCTTGTTACAATAATACAGCTGTCATCTACTGTACTGTACAGGTAAGATTGAACATATGGCTGGATAAAGCTCATCATCATCATCATCATCATCTACAATATCCATAAACAACATCAGTTTTGCCCTGATTCTGTTTTTTCCCCCCTCTTTTTCACCCACCCACCCCCTCTTTGTCATCTTTGTTTTTGCTCATAAACAGTACATGGGTCTGCGTATATACATACCTTGAACACAACATGGAAAAAAATATAATAAACAAAACATTTAAAAAAAAAAAAAGAAAGAAAAAAAGAAAAAAAACAACAACATACAAGTCAGAATTTTGGTGAGGAGCATTTATACTGTATATACAATTTTTTTTTTTTTCCTTTTCTTTAATGTAGTGAGTATTCTCTGTAAATAAAGACGATTGGACAGACTGTACCGAGCGGCTCTATGTGCTGTGCTGCGGGTGGGGGGGGGGGGCACAATGCTAGGATAACACTTCAGTCAGTGTTCACGACATAAGACGGCAAACGGGATGCCCAAAGACCACCGACAGGAGGTTTGGGGAAAAAAAAAATAAGAAAAGAAAAAAACAAAGTTGAGGGGGGAAAAAACCCTGATCGTCAAAAAAAAGCTACTAAAAAGAAAAACTCCAGAGAGCAGGAGGGGAGTGGGGGGTGGGGGGGCTGAAGGACATGCTCGCTGAGACGCTGCACTGTTGGACACGGTTGGTAACGGAAGAGTAGAGCCGTGGCCTAATTCACCTACAGCCTTAACGCACACAGAATCTAACCACACTCCAGCACCGAGAAATACAAACAGAACACAAAAACAAAACAAAACCCCCTTTTCTTACTCTGCTGTCTTTAGGCAGCAACAAATATTGCCACTGCTCTGCCAGATATGAGCTCAACATAAATGATTTCTGAACCATCGTAGTTAATATACATATATCTATATATACTTTTTATACATAAGGAAAAGTAATATATAAACTGTGTGTGTATGCGTATTGGGTTGCGCTGTGCACGAGCGCTACAGGACCTTAAACGCCTCACGTCCGTCCGAAAACACATCTGCCCAGGAGTACAAAATAAAACCAAAATAAAAGCTATTCGAGTAAAATGGCTCCCGAACCATTTAAAAAACACCCCCCAGGCGGGTAGAAATAAACTGTGCGGACGTTAACACCCCCCCCCGTCCCCCCCGCCCCCTCCGTCAAGTGGACCGCCTCTTTTATCGAAAATCATCATGCATCCGAGTGTGTGTGAGGATGTGCGCCCGTCTGTGTGTGTGTGTGTGTGTGTGTGTGCCTCATGCCTTGTCTGCGGAAGTGGCGTTTGGGGGGTGAGGGGGCGCCACGACCCCCCACCCCCCACCGTCCCCCCCGCCGCCGCCGCCTGCCGGTCGATCCTACCGTACTGGGGTCATGCACTGGGGTGGATGCAGAGAAACGGAGCCTTATAAGGAAAAGGGGGGGGGGGGGGGGGGCAGCGCAGGACTTCTCTACAGATTGTCCTCTTACAAACATTAGCAGGCTAGCTGTGTGGATACATGTACAGTGTTTGTCACCGGGGCGGGCGGCAACACCTGCAGCCCCCCCCCACTCTGCTCCCCCGCCCAGAGGGCGCCGGCAGAGGGGGGAGGAAAGTTCAGACAGCAGTGTGAGGAGGGCTGGTCGGGGGGTGGGGGGGAGTAGACGTCGGCTCTGGGGGTGCTTGGTTGGCGGCGGTGGCGCGGGGCTGTGGTGGAGCTGCTGGGGGGGCCTCGGCGTCGCTTTGCCACTGTCGGAGGGGTGGGGGGGGGGGGGGGGGCAGGGGGGCCCGGCCGCCGGTGGGCGGGGGCTGGGGCTGGGGCGGGGGCGGGGACGGGGGGGGGGGGGCGGGCGGCCTGTGGGCTCAGGAGGTGGAGTTGGA